ATAGAGGGTATGCAGAAAAGTAGCTTTGCCTCCTCTCTGTCCCTAAGTTTCTGGTAGCCCTAAATGTCCCCTAGAAATCATTCCTCAGGCCAAGAATGCTTAATACCTTTCTGGGATTGTCATTCCTAAATATAAGACACCATTTAGGTCTCAACACAGAAAAACAAAATATCCACTTCAAGTACGAGCTTCTTGGTTTTCCACCAGAGAAGGACCCAGGCAGGACTTTTCCCACCAGAGACGAAGCCCAGTGAGATGGCAGTGTTACCCAGTGCTGCTGCTCATCCTGACAGTCCATGGGGTGGTGGCCTCAGGCCTCCGTTCCGGCTGTTCTCCTGAAGGGTATGAGTGTGGGTCTCCGGTTTGCCTTGTGGTCCCAGCCCCAGAACTGCCTCAGCCACTACTAAGGGGCCACTCCGTACTCTGCACACAGCCTGCCAGGCTGTGCTTCCCAAGAAAAGCATGTGATCCTTACCTCAGGGAGGAAGATGCCAAATCTTTATTACTGCTATTATTGCTCCGACCTTACAGCAACCATCACTTAGGGAGGCAGCAAGAAAATGCAGAGAAAAAGCGACAGCTGTCCTCCCTGTCCAGGTGGGCCCTGATGGCTTTACTACGCGGAGGCAGCCTCCTGCCTGACTCAGGAGTGGCTTCTGGGATTCAGGAAACCCTGAGATCCTTCAAGTCTCCCAGTTCTCTCCCAGCCATGGCTGCTCCACAGCTGCTGACAGGTGTGCCAGAAAAATCAGGTTTGTAGGTAGATGCTCAGGGCCACCCGGCAACCCTGCTCTCCTGCCCTGGTCAGCCTCCTTTCCACTGCACAGAGTAGCTATTCCAAACCTTCACCCACCTCGAGTCTCCAATGCTACCTTCTACCCCCTCATTCTCAGCAGATGGTCTTGCCTCCCACTTCAGAGAAAAAATAGAGGCTATCAGGCTGCTACACACTCTGCTGCCCACTTTCCCTCCCCCTCTCCTCTGCCCCACACACTCATCTGTACCCAGCCTTCCCACCTTCCACTGGGCTTGAAACAAAGGCTAAGGTTTCCACCTGTGTTATTCATTCCCAGTCACTTGAATCTCCCTCAGGACTTGATCTAGCAATTACTTCTCTCTGCCGAATCCCCTAATCTGCCCCCTTCCCCATCAGCTACAATTCCACTCAAGTCTCCCCAGTATTTAATCCTATGCTCTGCTCGGACCACTACCCTAACTCTCCCGAACCTTCTACAGCTAAATATCTGAAAAGAGTACATTCTCCATGAAGAGTCTCCACTTCCTTCAGTCTCAATTCTCTCTCACCCTGATCAGGCCATTGTAGCTGCTCTTCCTAACCCCCTGAATCGCCAAATCCAAAATACCCTTTCCAGTGCTTTACTGATTTGATCTCCCATTTGACAACGTTGAGGAATTCTGGCAGACTATGTTTTCCAAAATGGCTGCCACAGTACCTCCCATTCTAATTCACTTCTAGAACCCTGCCACTCTCCCATTAAGAGGTAAAGTCTATTTCCCCAACCCTGAACTTAACTAAGGGGGCCTTTGTGACTGCTTCATCCAAAAGAGTAAGAAAGAAGTAATCCTATGTGGCTTCCAAGGCTGAGTCACAAAACTGTGATGTACTTTCAGCCTTATTCTCTTGGGTCACTTGCTCTTAGAACTCAGCCACCATGCTGTGAGGAAGACCAAGCAGCCATGTAGAAGCTGATACGGAGAGGAACTAAGGCCCTGGCCCACAGCCCCAGTTAAGCTCCCAGACAACAGCTAGCACCAACTTGCCAGCCAGGGAATGAGCCACTCCAGCCCCCAGTCAAGCTACTCCAGCTAGTGCTGCATAAAACAGATGAGTTTCTCTACCAAGCCCTGGCCAAACTGCGAATTCATGAGCAAAACACATGACTGTTGTTTTAAGCCACTGTGTTTTGAGGTGACTCATTATGCAGCATTAGATAACTAATATAGTGCTTTCATCTTTAACTTTTCTCCACTGAATATAGCAGCATTGCACAATCTGGTTCTCCTCCAGTCTCTCTGATCATGCTTTCTTAGTCCCATTCATGAACTTATCCTCTTGGGCTCACCCCCAAACAATGTTTTGCACAGTTTTTTCCCTTGCCTTCTTTCTTCTTGTTGCTGTCTTTTAAACTCTATATACCTTCTCTGAGTGATCTCCACTATTCCCCCAGATTCATCTATCAAGAGTATCTTTACTCATAAATGCCGAATTTGTATTCCAGCCTGGACTCCAGACCAACAGGGATATTCCTATCCAAAACTGCCAAGAGCACTACTTTACCCTATGTGGTTGCTGCATTGACCATTTCACTTCGTTCTGAGATGCATCCCAATCCCCTTACTCTCTTGAGAACTTCCATTTCCCAGGCTCCCTTGACAACTTGCTGCCACCTAGGTTTTGCCCAGAGGCAACACTGAGGGATACTAGCATACTGGGGGGCAAGAGGAGATGGAAACTCTTCTGCCTCAAACAGCATCTGTGGCTCCCACTCCCAAGTGAAGGGCCCTATGTCTGTGATCTGGCTCCCAGGGAACAAGCTCACCACAGTCTCAGCTACTATCTGTGGTCCCTGGCCCTGGGATCTAGAGAACTACATCTTCTCTTTGTCCTCTGCCTTGAGGGTGGCCTTGGCTTCCTGCTGTTGGCAATTGTCTCTCCATCCCATTTGGCTTTTTGGCCATTACATCATTTGTAAACTCCATTTTCTGTGTCAAATTCCCTGTTTGAAATACGTAGAGCAAATTCTTTTCACCAACTATACCCTGACTGACAAATAGTTGTCCCCCTTCTCTATAGTTTTGCTTTCCAAGGTTTCAGTTATCCAAGGTCAACTGTGTCCTGAAAATAGGTGAGTACAATACAATAAGGCATTTTGAGAAAGAGACCACATTCACCTCACTCTTATTATAATTATATCTTATAATTATATTTTATTATTAGTCTCTTACTATGCATAATTTATAAATTAAACTTTATCACAGGTATGTATGTGTATGAGTCTGTTCTCACGCTGCTAATAAAGACATACCTGAGACTGGATAATTTATAAAAGAAAGAGGTTTAATGGACGCACAGTTCCACATGGCTAGGGAGGCCTCACAATCATGGCAGAAGGCCAAGGAGAAGCAAAGGCACATCTTACATGGTGGCAGGCAAGAGAGCCTTTGCAGGGGACTGCCCTTTTATAAAACCATCAGATCTTGTGAGACTTATTCACTGTCACGAGAACAGCATGGGAAAGACCTGCCCCCATGATTCAATCACCTCCTACCGGGTCTCTCCCACAACACGTGGGGCTTATGGGGGCTACAATTCAAGATGAGATTTGGGTGGGGAAATAGCCAAACCATATCAGTATGTATAAGAAAAAACAGCATATATAGGGTTGGGCACTATCTGAGGATTCAGGCATCCACTGGGGGTCTTGGAATGTATCTTCACAGATAAAGGGGAACTACTGTATAGAGTTAAATATGCCTAAACATAAGCACTTAAGCCAGAAACCTAAGATATTTGTCTCCTTCTTATTCATACCAGTCCTTGCCCCCTCCCCATGTGTAAAGCTGGTCACAAATCCTGATTATTCTGTCCCTTGAACGCATCCATCTCCCTTGTCCCCATTACACTCCTCACTTCACATCATTATTTCTCTCTCAGACCAATGCAGCAGCCCCTCAATTCATCTCCTGGCTACAGTCTTTCTGCCTTCCGATCCATCCTCCAGACTCCCAACAGATTTTTATTTCTAATGCAAATCTGATCATGACAGTCCCCTAATTAAAATTCTTAAATGGTTCCCAATGACTACAGGAAAAAACTCAGATCTGCTCAGATCCACAAATATGTAGTGAGTGTTGGCCATGCATACCATTCTATGCCTTAGCCTGGAATACAAACCCCCCGTGTTCTGTCCTACCTACCTTTCCAGCCTCATCTCCACTTTGAGCTCATACCATTGGAACAGGTTGAAGTTATCCAAGTACACTCTGTCCTCCAAGCAGTCAGGCCCCCACACTCGCTGGGCTGTCCTTCCACCGCCTGGCTATCTCAATAGTCACCATCTTGCTGCAGCCCCCTTGGTGCCCCATCTATCCAGGCACAGTGCTACATGGCACTGTGCAAACACGCTGTGACTATTTACATGCCTGTCTCCACTAAATGAGGATTGTCCCAAGATGAAGATGGGGCTCACTCACTCTCGTGTCCCCAGCACCCACCTAGCACAGGGTGCAGAAGACCCTCAACATAGGCATCAAGTTTGGTTAAAGTGAGTTGAAAGAATAAGAGTCTAGAGTAAGGAAAGGGAGCAAAGAAAGGGAAACAAGAAAAGGAAAGAAAGGGACATACTGACAAATTAAACAGATTGCTGACCTCCCCATGGGGGGTGATGGCTACTGACTCAAGCAGTGGCCGCTCCACCTCTTCTGCCCTTACTCTGAGCACAGAGCTAGAAAAGTCCACTAAGGGTGTTCCTAGGACCATTCAGACAGGTGAATTTGTTCATTCCAAGTAAGTACCAGAGAAGCAAACCTGCAACCTGCATAGATATTTATTTCTATGTGATCTGTATGTCATTTTTATATCCCTGTTGACCACATGCTCCCTCTTGTTACAATTTAACAAATTAAGATGTAATTTTGTCTACCCCTTTGGTAGACAAAAAACCACACCTTTGGTTTAGCTCATTTCTACAACATCCCTCCCCTGAGGTCCCCTTGGCCCCTAGCAGCCATTCAGTGTGTTTTGAGACTATCACAGCCAGTTCCCAGGGACAAATCAAGAACTAACCCAAGCTGCCACAGGGTTTTGTGGTCACGGAGCTGTTATAACACCTCCTCTGTCGTGATCTCAGCTCTCCTCTCCCACTCTGCTGCTCGAAGGGCCACACTCCACACCAGCCTGAACCAGTTCCATCTAGGCAGCCTGGATCCCAGGGAAATGTGGACCGAGGACACAGGAAGGAGAAAGGGAGGGTTCTCACCTCCATCAGGAGAATGTCCTTCGAGCTCTGAGCCCGCACCTTTGGGTGCTGGACCTTCACGGCCACCGTCCGCCCATCATGCAGCACTGCCTTGTGGACCTGGGCCAGGGAGGCAGTCCCCAGAGGGGTGTCGTCGAAGCTCTGGAACAAATCATGGATCTGTCGGGAGTAGAGAGAGAACAGAGCGATTAAAAAGGTGACCCAGTTCAGTGAGAGGCAGTCAGGAAGACGGGCCAGAGTCAGGGCTGCCTAGTGCCCCCAGGACAGATGTGTGTGTGTGTGTGTGTGTGTGTGTGTGTGTGTGTGTGTGTGTGTGTGTGTGTGTGTATGTTGAGACAGACAGAGTCCCGCGCTATAGACCAGGCTGGAGTGCAGTGGCATGATCTCGGCTCACTGCAGCCTCCGCCCCCAGGACAGATTAGAGAGAGAGAGAGAGAAAGTGTGTATGTGTGGTGTGTGTGTTGTGTGTGTGTGTGCTGAGACAGAGTCCTGCGCTGTCGACCAGGCTGGAGTGCAGTGGTGCGATCTTGGCTCACTGCAGCCTCTGCCCCCCAGGTTCAAGCAATTCTCCTGCCTCAGTCTCCTAAGTAGCTGGGGTTACAGGTGTGTGACACCACACCCAACTAATCTTTGTATTTTTTAATAGAGATGGTGTTTCACCATGTTGGCAGGCTCGTCTCAAATTCCCTACCTCAAGTGACCCGCCCACCTCAGGCTCCCAAAGTGCTAGGATTACAGGCATGAGCCACTGCACCCAGCCCCGAGGACAGATTTTTTGCTTTATCAGTTGTGTACCAGGACCAGGTCTTGCCTGGTCCTCCGCTGCTGGACATTCACGAACGGTAGGCATATAGAGGGAGGGGGACAGAAGATGTGCATGGAAGGCACATCCTCATACCTGTGCACGGGCCCCTAAGCACCTCCATCAAAGGTTAAAGAAGTGCTCTTCAGAACTGAGCTTTATCTGCCCACTGCACTATCCACCGCTGTGCCTCCTGGGCTCTCACATATGGACAATCCAGCATTAACAGAACGTGGGCCTGGGGCAGCCCAGTATCTCAGCCCCAGACAGGGATCAGACAGAGGACGTTTCCATTCTACCAACCAGGGGAGCTCAAAGAATCCTGGGCGGAGGCCCCAGACCAACAACCACCTTTTGTTCCTGCCTGAGCAGCAGCCTCAGCGTGGGTCACCAAGTCCACTCCCAGCCTGGCCACTCGAGCAGAGACCCCAGGGCTGCAAGCCAGAACTTTGCTCTAGGTCATCACCTGCGATGCCACTCAAAGTAGGCCTGAGCAAAGCCCTTTGCCTTTCCTGTGCCTTTCTTTTTCTATGAAGTGGAAAATATACTCCTTACTCTTCCTTCTTCTTTCTTCCTTCCCTCTTAGAAATGCCATACCAATATTCCTCAAGGAAATAAAATTCCCTGACTTGAGTGGTCACACCTACATGGTCCAGATCCAAATATTCTGCCAACTAGGAAAGAGGCCCCTAAAGGTCTTTTCCAAGATTGGCCAAGGCTGACATCCTAATCCTCTCCATTTCTTTAAGCCTCTGTACAGCCTCACAATCCTGGAAAGTCCAGACATGCACACACACACATGCACAAGCATGTAGAGATGCCTGCTCTCCTGGCCCACCCTCCTAGGCCCTCATGCTTTGAAGTCTATTCAGTCTGCGCAGCCCTTCCTCCCTCAGTCCCCATTACTGCAGCAGCCACTCTGCCCTGCCCCTCCACCCCTCTCCTTGGACTTCAGATGTCACATGACCCACAGCCACCATCCCACCCCATTTGCTAGGCTACACCATCACTTTCCTGAACTCCTCTCATAAATCATTCCCTCCAGCCCTGTCATCATTGTTGTAGCTTTCACTAAACTCCATCCCCATTTATCAACATCCTGCCCAGACCAAAGGCCCAGGTCACATGAGGAAAGGCCTACGCTTCTCTGTCAGGACAGATGGGTATGGGATTCGCTTCCCTGGCCCCCTTCATCCTGGTTGGTTTGTTATTTGTATCTCTCCCAGTGTCTGGTTCTCCCTGCTCCCCCCAAAACACACTTGTCTTTTCTCCTCCTTCGTGAGTTCTAGACTCCCAATGGCAAAATTTTTCCCTTGTCATCCACCCAATCACCCTGAGTTTCTCAGCATAAGAACCCTTCATCTTGGGCCTGGACTTGGGATGGGGAAACAACGGGATCATTAGGACATCAGCTCCAAGTGGGCAAAGATTTTTGTCTGTTCTGTTCACTGCTGAATTCCCTGCAACCCCCTAGAACACGGCTGGGACTAGTTGGTGCCAAACAAATTTGTTGAATGACTGAATCCACTATTCCACTGGAGAAGAATTGAATCAACTTTTTCTTCCCTTTGAAATGGCTAGACCTTCCTGTTCCCACATTCCTATGAATCCAAAGACCTCAAACATGCAGCTTTCCAAAACAGAAAAAGCACACCTGTTCCTCCAAGGCAGGTGTGAGGCCCTGGCCTGGCCAATCAGGACCCTGAATATCTCTGGCCATGTGCATTAGTTCAGAGATGTACAGGTAACTCAACTGGTCCAATCAGACTCAATCATTTTACTTTTGTTTGATATAGAAGGGATGTTTTTCTCAATGGAACTTCAACATAAAAATATAAGCCTGGGGTACAACTGCTGAGGATCACATAGTAGCAACAAAGAAGAAAGCAGAGTACCAAGAGACAGAGGGAGTGAACCCAGGCCACAATGTTTGAGCCTCTCGATCCAGCCATGCCTGAGTACCGACCCTGTGATTCCTTTGTCTGCTTAGGTCAGTTTCAGTTTTCTGCCACACACAACAGAAGGGGCTCTGATGGACATAGTATTCTCAGGCCCCAGCAGGCATAAGTGAGAAAAACACAGACGTGGTGCCCAGCACCCCTAAGAGACCCAGTAAGTGTGAGTTTCGTCCCCTCCCTACCCCCTTGCTGGGACAGGGACCCAGGAATGGAAGGGAAGGTAAAGCCTCGGCAATGTCCCCAGCTGTTACATAATGAGATCAATACCAAGTCCCTTTGCAAGCTCTCTGGAGTTCCTGAAGGAGCACCAAGCAGAGGGTTTTCTGGAGCAGAGCTGTGAACTCACACCCTCATCTCCCAGGCAGGTAAAATGGCCCAATCTTCCCACTGAAAAGGGATTTGGGGGTCATCTGGCCTCACTCCTTACCCCCAAGCCACCACCTGACTCCCAGGAACATGTGCTCACTGTCTGAGAAGGACAACCAGTCTCCAAGCCCGTATCATTGCAGGGGCGCTGCAGAGTCATTGCAACTGAAGAGTGACATGGCATCGCTAGGGCTGTGTAGCAGGAACAGCTGCCAAGAGCACCCCGCAGGGAGGTGAGGAAAAGAAAGAGCTGAGGCGAGCAGATCCTAATCTCTAGGGTGAGAGGAAGTCTGGTCCACCACATCCCCAGAGGACATGAAGGAGGCCTCCCACAATTCCCCATCCCCACCAGGGGAATCAAGGGGGCCTCAAGATAGCACCCAAGCCCAGTGGCCAACTCAGCACCTGAACAAGACCCAGCTGTGAGGACTTGCCCACATCCCCAGTACCACCAGCAGAAACAAAGACAGGCATGGGGAATGAGGATGCACCCCTCACCGGGCGCCGGAAACCTGTCACACAGACACCCTACTCCACCCCCTCCCCAGTGTCCCTGCAGCCATCTTTTCCTTCTCTATCAGGAAGCAAGTCACACGCCCACACCCTCCTGTGCTTAAGCAAGCACACACACATACACACACATGATAATTGATTGCTAGTGGATGTTCCTAGCTGGCTTATAAAAAAGGTAATTAAAGATTGGTGCTGCAGCCTATAATTAAATATGAATAAAGTATCTCTAAATGGAACCTTGATTCAAAGTGTTCAGTGGAAGTACTTTATGCTGATAGATGGTAAGGAAAAATAGACCCTGTCCCGAAAGCAGAATTATACCCCCCATGCAGCTGAAACAAACGCCACCCCCCTCCAATCAGGCCTCGTCCCCCAGCCCTTTCAGCAGAAAACCATTACCAGAAACAAACTGCAGCATTTGCAGCAATTAGATTCAAGCAGGGCCCTCAGCTGCCTCCAGTCACTCACAGAAACTTGCCTCCCTTTCTAAGCTTTTCTTTCCCCATTTCTTTTCTTCCCCCGCTCTGGGTCTAGCGGCAAAATCGGTTAAGTAAAACAACTGCATTTTAATATGACTAGTTACGTGCTTTTTAATTACTGTCGGCCCATGATTCAAATATATCGATGTCCCTGTCTGGAAAAGGAAAAATAATCAGAAAAAGAGTTTCTCTGGCTTTTTATCGTTTGGTTTCTTTCTCTGTGTGTGTGTGTGTGTGTGTGTGTGTGCGCGCGCGCGCGCGTGCACACATGTGAAGCGAGGAAGTGTTTGTCGTTTAATGAGCAAAAAAGCACCGGGGGGGTAAGAAAAAATGTGTCATCCCCTAGGGGCTTGGCAAATCTGGGGCAGTTAGGTCCTCAGCAGTCTGGCTTCATGAGCCTGGGAATCAGGAGACCAAGTGACATCATACCCGAGTCAAAGGGCAGAGTAAGAGACTATCCAGAAAATCCCACTGCAGAGTCCCATGAAGCCAGGGTACTGGGCAGTGTTACCAAACTGCCACACTGCGCAGCCAAGCACTGGCCAAGACCAAAATAAGGGGACAGGAAGTCAGGATCTTCTGGAGAAACCACACTACGCCTCCTGGGGAGTTTTGCTTGGAGTATCTTAAACAGCCCCTCCAGATGCTGCAGCGTGGCCAGCCTCAGGGCCCTCAGGGAAGGGGCTCCCCAGTCACAGGATGGAGGACAGCTGAATTCTTCCAAGATGGCCCACTTTCAAATACTCCAGCCTGTTGTTCCCATACTCGGTCACGTCAGGCCAATTTTGGTTTTAGAAACTACATCACCGTATCAATAATGCATCTCACAAACCCCGAACTGCCTGGCTCCAGATGCAGACGGAAGCCTGCCTCAAAGCAGGCAAGCCCAGGCCCGGACGCCAAGACCAAGCAGTTCCCACTTAGGACACCTGGGGCAGAACCAACTCGGGGCAGGTTACCATGGCATCAGCAGCAAATAACATCTGGCTCCTGCAGTCTCGAGTTGGCCTGCCCTACACCTGGCTGGGTGCCAGCTGCCAT